GAACACTGCCAACCTGCCTTCTAAGTATTTAAATTTTTATACCTATGGACAAATGTTCGTGCCAGTCTTAATCAGGGGGCAAAGAAAGAATGCTAATAGCTGGAAGGCATGGACTTGAAAGACTGCAAATGCGATTGTCTGGGCATGACACAGTCATTAGAGCCACACACTCTTAAGAACTCCTGTAACAAAACCACTTGACAGAAGAAACGGAAAGTGGTGAATCATTTTATCTCATGGTTTTAGAAGGGGTGACGTCCACCATGACATAGAAGGCATGGAAGTGAGCATGAGGTGGTCCATTGTATCAAGAGAGAGAGAGAGAGAGAGAGAGAGAGAGAGAGAGAGAGAGAGGAATATTGCTGCCCATGTTGCTTTCTCCTTTCCTTTTTGATGCAGTCTGAGAACCCAGTGCATGGAATGGTGCTATACACATTCCTTCTTCAGCTAATCCTCTCTGGAAGCAAGTACCCTAATGACCAAGTTGATAATAAAGACTGAACATCATAACTGCTAAATTTTATATCATATGGTTTAAGCTTTTAAGGTCTAGCTATTAGTGTATTATTGATTTTATTGTATTAATGATTTATTGTATTGATTATTTATTAATGTATGTATAATCTTTCCTACTCCTAAATATACACTAAGCATAATTTTTAATAAGTGCTCAACCATGATGCCAATGCTAAGCAGCAGTTTTTCATAGCCCAGTACAGTGTTTTTGACAGAAAAAGTTGTGTCTCAGAAGTGACCAAGGACTCAGCTTGTTTTTTAAACTTAATATACATCAGTAGATAATTTATAGACTCAAATAATAAAATTGAATTTCTAGGTTGTTTCTGAGCCTACAGTTGTCTTAGGAGAATGCTTCATTTTTGTTTGTCCAAAGCAAAAGGATTTCATTCTTCTCAAGTTTCAGGTAGCAGGGTATGAGCAAAATAACACTGGCAGTTAATTGACCCCGAAGATCTCTAGTAAGTACCAACTGTGTGAGCTTGGATTTATTATTGATTTTCCTCTCTCCCTGTTACCTCTTTTGTAAATTCAATTGCTATAAGAATGTCTTTAGCAAGAGAGTGTGCTGTTGATTGAACAATTGGCTTTTCCTCAAATTTGTTTAAAAATGTTTCACTCCTGTAAACGTTACTTAGTCTTCTCCAGTGACTGCTGATTATTCCATATGTGATAACCAATAAATCTGTGCATCTAGCCAAAGAATACCAACGGAGACCCATATATCATATGCCTAAATATTTGCAAATAATACCAAGCTAACACACAGTAAGCTAAATATACCCTGTCTTACAACTTGATAGATCCCCTTCTCAATGGCTGGAAGTTATGCTTGAAATCAGAATTTTCAACATCTTTATTTGATGCAGTTGGGGTAAGACAAGCTGGTCCAGCCTCTGGATCTTGGTCTGTGTATTTTCTCCTTCATCTCCAATAGTCAGTTCCACTCTGGAGACTCTCAAGTATCTCCGGTACTCCAGTTTGTCTTTCCAGTCTTTTTTATATTTTCATAAAGAAAATATTAATTTTGTTTTCTATTTTGTTACTTTATTATTCTGTTTATGGCAGTTGATCAGTGTAGATACCCAAGAGTGGGTACACATCATTCAGAGTGAGAGAGACCAGGTAAAGGAAGACACAGGAATTAGAAACAGATTTAGGGTCATCAAGGCAGCCACCTCATGGTATCTGAATACCCAGAGCATGGTCTAGTATTAGTGGGTTGGCCAGACTCTTAATGGGCATGTTTCCCTCGAGAGGTGAAATTTCCATTCTGTAGTGAAAGGACCATTTAAAGGAAAATTAAGACCTCCAGTGTTATTCATTGCCAGGCAGTATTTCTTGGTATGTATTTTGACATGTTAGTTAAAAGAAACAAACAAGCAAACAAACAAACAACCAAAACCAAACCAAAACAAAACAAAAAACTAATGATGCTATTAACATTTTAAAAACAGGTTTTTAAATTTATTTTTAATTTGTGTTTTGGGTATTTTGCTTATATGTATATCTTTGCACCACATGCACACATTGGCTGCAGAGGTAGGAAGAGGGTGTTGGATTCTGTGGAGCTTGAGTTACAAACAGTTGTTAGCGACCATCTGGGTGCTAGGAACCAAACCTGGGTCTGCTGGAAGAGAAAGTGGTCTGAACTGCTAACAGTGTTATGGGCTTTTAACATGGCAAAGCACAGTGGAAAACTTTATGACTTTTTGACCATGGACCCGTGTGTTTGTGTGTTTGTGCTTGTGTTTGTGTATCCGTCTGTGAAGCACCTCCATCTGATGAAAGCTGCTGTCATTACGAGTGTCAGAAAGTGCTTACTCCACTTCCTTCAATTGCCTCCTTTTAAAAGATATATCTTCTCTTCTCTCTCTCTCTCTCTCTCTCTCTCTCTCTCTCTCTCTCTCTCCCTCCCTCCCTCCCTCCCTCCCTCCCTCCCTCCCTCTCTCTCTCTCTCNCTCTCTCTCTCTCTCTCTCTCTCTCTCTCTCTCTCTCTCTCTCTCTCTCTGTGTGTGTGTGTGTGTGTACATGCTGCTGAGGCTAAAATAAGGCATCTGATCCTCTGATGCTGTAGTTATGGATGGTAGGAGCAGCCCAGTGTGGGTGCTGGCACCTGAGCTCAGGTCTTCTGGAAGAACTTTAGTTTTCCAAGAACAGAAGTTTTTAAACTTCTGGTTTAAACCCCTGAGCCATGTCTGTGTTTCTTTCTTGATATGCCTTTTCTCCAAATTGTCTCCAAATTTTGTTTACCGTATCTCCTTGATATTCCCCCACTCTCTAAGATTCATGCTTTTTTTTTTCAGGGCTATTGTTTCTTGCCTTTATTCTTTTATCTGTTTCCTCTAACATTTTAAAAGCGTGTGTGTGTGTGTGTGTGTGTTGCAATATATATTGTAATCAGAGCACTTTACTGAGGTTCCGGGGAGTGGGTACTGGACCTCATACATGTTAAACCTACTCTTATTATTGAGCTATCTCTCTAATCTCAACTATATTCACTTATAAATGTAAGACAGCTATAAGATCAATCTAAGTATTAATGTGGAGACTATTTTAAGACATATTCCAATGTTAAAAATAAAAGGTTAAAACAGAGTTAGAGTTCTCTTTAATATAAGAAAATAACATAATAATTATATTTTCAATTGAAATAACTAATGAAAAGGTTACCTGTTCACTGCAGAGATTTATAATAGATGCCTGACGTGCGATTTCCCTCTGTATGCTGTGAATATGTTTTATTACCATTGGTTAATAGGAGAAGCTGCTTAAGCCTAAAGCAGGGCAGAATATAGCGAGGCTGAAAGAGACATATAGAGAGATAATAGGCAGAGTCAGAGAGACGCCATGTAGCTGCCAAAGGAGACAGTAAGCCACAGCCTCATGCCAATACATAGATGAATGGAAATGGGTTAATTTAAGATGTAAGAGTTAGTTAATAAGGATCCTGAGCTAATAGGCCAAACATTGTTGTAATTAGTATAGTTTCTGTGCTATTATTTGGGTCTGGGTGGCTGGGAAACCAATGAGCAGCCTCCACCCACAGATGGGATAACCTTTTGATTGCTTTGATTTTTGAAAGTCTGAATTACTGGATTAAAACTCAAAATTACAAATCTATATAAAATGTAATCTATTTGAGATAATTATATTATGTACTGTGATGTGCTTACTTGTTATAGTTTATTATGAAAAATTTAAAATCATAGTATAAAAGAATGGGCTAGGAACTTGGATCAGTCAGTTAAGTGTCTGTTGCATAAAAATGAGACCTGAGCTCAGATCTGCAGCACTCACAAAAAAAGCCACACCCCAAGGTACACATCTCTAACCCCAATGCTGGGGATACAAACAGGCATGTCCCTAGTGATTATTGGCCAGACAGCTTAGCAAAACTGATGGTTCATCAAGAGACCTTGCCAAAAAATAAATTGGACAGTGACTGAAGAAGCCACTGGACTTTATATATTTTTATGTCCACATTCACATATGCACACACACATGAACACATGCACACACAACACACAAAAAGAGAGAGTAAAAAATCATGCATGTCTAATCACACCGTTACTTTGCTCAAATTGTTTTTGAGCCTGCCACTGCTTTTTTTTTATACTTTTATGGTTTATCCTGATTCTTATCTTGACAGGATCCCAGATCCTTGGAGACAAATCTCTGGACTTGTCTGTGAGAGATTACCTAGTGTGAGCAGGCACCCATGTCCAGTTGCCAGGGTTCCTGTTACTTTAGCATTAGGGGCTGTTTCCCTTGGTGCTATAAGCCAAATTAAACCATTCTGTCTTTTGTCACAATAATGAGACAAGTCACCAACACAAGCACCAAGTAGGTGCTTGTAGGACCAGTAGAATGACACACACTTGGGTGGGAACCAACTGCTCTCTAACTGGACTGAAGACCTGTTCAATAAGAGGGCAAACATACCTGGAATTGGAAACCTATCTAACTACTCAATGCTAGGGAAATCATGGTTATTGGAGGAGAATCTACAACCACTAATGTACTAAACTAGAAAAATTCCTAAGAACAATCTATCAACATTTTCTCCTACACCACAGATAAGCGCAGTCTGTTGTGGAATATTCCTTTTGTACACTGAAGATTTGTCACTCAGATCAGTTTCATAAAAAGCTAAATGGCCAATAGCTTGTCTGGATTTTTGGGGGGGAAGAGGACACTGGGGGGAAGAAGGGTAGAGACGTGGAGAGTCACTAACCAGATGTGGAACAAGAAGGCCACACAAAATGGGATAGAGGTAACAGCCACACGGTAGAATGTAAATTAATAAAAATAGGTTCACTTAAGTTGAAAGAGCTAGTTAGTTACAAACCTAAACTATTGACTGAGCTTTCATAATTAATAATAAGTCTTTGTGTGGTTCTTTGGGAGCTGGCAGGTGGGACAGAAAAAGTCCAGCTACAGTAGTCTTTCCTCCTCATCAAGGAAACTTCTCTTCGCAACAGATGGAAACAGCCACAGAAAACCACAATCAATGAAGAGGCAGAGTTGTGGATCTCAGTCCCAGTGGAAATCCTCCTTTTCAAAACACATTTCTGCAGACTCTAATGTGTTCTATGGTATGGCTCTTACACTCTGACTTTGAAATATCCCGTTTGGGGAGCATGTGGACACTTGAAGATGTTAGGCCTTGTTAGCAGAAGCAGGTCACTAAGGGTGGGCTTTTGGCGTTTATAGCCCAGCCCTTCTCCAATCTGGCTATGAGATTCATGACCTGCCTCCCCCCCCCCATGATGTGAAGGGTTTTCATCAGATATTCCCCTTGCTGTGAACTCCACCATGGCTTCCCTGCTGTGATGATCAGAGAATCAAAATATTTCTTTCCTCATGGAGGGAATTTTGGCCATGTTAAGAAGGTAACCGACACAGCCATAATGAATGCCATAATAGTCTCTTGGGCCGGCGTCTCTCCTATTTGCAGTCCTCATCCTGTCTGACTAGATCCTCTTGCTCATCATAACTCAGTCTCCAATATCTGACTCAAAATCTTTCTCCTAAGTTGAATTTTGGTTATCCTTTCTCCTTTTGAAATCACTCTACAGTTGTCTTATCTCTCTGGACTTCTATTGCTGACAAATGATATGTGATCTGGGCTGTGTATTCACTAATGATGAAACTCTCCTGTATCCATTTCTATATCCGAAGCATGCACAGGCCTGACACAGGACTGGTCCAGGTAATGAAAGGATAAATGGATGAATGTATGACTGATGTGTGCCGTATTTGAAATGTAACCATCTCACCTCTAGGACCGTGACAGAGGCCTCGACAAAGCTCATGAAAGAACGTAGTTTTGCACCAGATAATTCAGGGTACCAGAATGATAAAGACGTGATTCAGGTGCAGCTTCTATACATACCCAGCTCTTCACATCGACATCAGGATTTCCCTCTGAGCCATGGTCCCACGTGTTTCCTGCTTTCACCTGAAGTGTTCAATCATCATGTTTTCATTGTTGCCTGACTCTACGGAAAAAGCATCAATTTCCCCAAAGGCCTTTCCAAATTTTCCCTGGAGCAATTTCTGTGCAGGGAGATTACAAAACTCCCACCTCAGAGTCAGGGATCAGCCTTGGAATGAGAAGACACAAGAAAGAGGGAAAAATGTGGGTTTTCTTAGTAAATAATACTCATGTGCAGTGATCAAACGCAGGGTTTCATACTCTACCTAAAGCTGCCAAAGGGAAGGGGAGGGCCGTTCATCATTCTGGGAACTGAGGTTTAAATCATTCCATACTTCACAGAACAAATATTCATCTAAAATGGGGAATTTAAATTATTTTTGTCTTCTTGTGGTGTTGGGATCTTTTTTTTTAAATTTTAAGAATGTGCCTTAATTGTTTTTGGAATGTACTTCCTTGCGGGGGAAGGGGGAGGGGGTCCAAAAAATCTTACTTCCAGACTTATGGCTGCCTCCTAACCTCTACCTCTGAACTTGTCCAGTGCTTCCAATAATGCCATCAAACTGTGAATCAGTGAGCTGATTAACCGCTGTTTAGGTCAGAGCTTCAGGATTTAATCAGCCTTTGAGGAGTTGATCCACCTGACAGGGACCAATAACTCATGAACCTTTTGTGTGTGTGTGGGAGCGCTCTTGATATCAACGCCATCCCATTTCTATTTTCAGATATCTTTAAAACTGAATTATAGAATGTGGACTCTGAAAAAAAATGTGAATTTGAATTCCAGCTCACAGCTGAGCCATTTGCTCAATCCCATAAGGTATTAGAGTTTAGAAGTTTGGGATGAAATCTTCGTGAGCATTCCTGTTGCCATCAGACTTCAAACCCCCGCCTCCCCCCTCAGAATATGTTATTTTCTTCTCCTTACCTCTGCTTGTGATGGCATGAGATGATTCTGTAAGCAAATACACATGCTTCTTCTTTGCAAGATTTGTTAGAGATTGACTATGAAATGTCTCTCATGAACTCATGTATTAGTGCCTAGTGACCAGTGGTTGGCAATATTTCTGGAGATCACAGAAATATCAGGGTTTGAGCCCTTGCTGGACAAGAGTAGGTCTTTGGAGGTGTACCTTCGAAGGTCATCCTTGCCTCTGGTCTTTGTCCCATCTCTTTTAAGTTACTGTCAGGTTTACTCATTCATACCATGATAAAACTCACACACTATCCCAAATTCCTGCAATCATAACTTTTTTATTTGGGGATTATTATTAAGTGTGAGAAAGGCTGTTTGAAAAACTGCTATTTTAACAGCTGGATAATGAGCTGATTACAAATTAGCATGCAGGTCGTATATACAGAGTGGATGCAGTAGGAACAGATTCACACCTCAGGCTTGGAGAGCAGGGTATCAGGAGGATCCATCATTCTTTTCAGAGAACCACATGACTCAAAACCTATGAATTGCTTACACATGTAATTGTTTTAGAATTCTAGCAAAGAACCCAGCAGGGAGAACTGCTAAATGTAACAGAGTCTACTTTGTTAGCTGCTTTATACTGAGGAGAGCAGACTAACTTTGTGCTTTTAAAAATGTCAGAGTTCTCAAGAATGTAACAGCCACAAAACCGGAAGCATCTCTTCTTCTGAAGATTAAAGGGTCATTTTAGGGGCTAGTGAGAAGGCTTAGTGGAAGCGCTGTCAAGCCTGAAAACCCAAGTTTGTCAGATGTCCTAGGTAGAGAAATGAGTTCGAAAGAGACAGCCAAGGCCGTAGATTGTGCTCTGACTTCCACACATGCATCCTAGCATGTATGCACCCACCCACCCTCCCATAACGTAAGAGAGAGTCATACAAAATGTCAAAGGGTGATTTGAATGCAGACGGTAATGCCACAAAGGGCGTCAGTCAAGCTTGATACTAGTTTAAAGCTGGGAAGTGATGCCTCAGACAAGCACAGGCAGTGACCCATGCCTTCCATGTTTGCACTAGAGGTTTTCGGTTTCGACTGGCACGTATGTGCCTACTTGAGGGTGTTTGGAATATTTTGGTACTGTCTGCTTGAAACACAATTTGTATTTCAACAAATGTGCATCATTTGGGGAGGATTTGTGCCACAAAATAAACTAATTTTCAGTAGGAATTATAACTTGATCTTCCTGGTCACAGAAGCTGCAGCGGCTGCTACAACAGGGTTTTCACATATGTCTTCAGATTGGGATTTGTGGCAGAATGACTTAGGAGTATGAGCCTTCTAAACTTTAATAAAGGGGGTCTGCTGTTAATCATATGTTAAATCAGTGATCGCTCATAATTCTCGCATTATAGTAGCCCATTACAAACCTCACCTGTATCATCACGTGGGATTGTTTCTTGAAACGACCCCGTAAAAAAAAAAATTTGCTGGTATTCTCTGGCTGGGTCTCCTGGGCTTGAGCTTCCTGGTCTTGGCTGTAATAGTGCCGCAGTTGGCCAAGAGAGCATGAGTTGGAAGAGGTGTAAATCTGACAGCCAGGAGCCAAGAGCAGAAGGGAAATGAGCAACAGTAATGGGTTTGTTTTGAAGGAAGATGGGAGTAGTCATAATGAGTCCTCGAAAGGACATTTACTTAGAAGCAGATTTGGAATCTGGCACGTGAGGCGTGTTCTCCAGTTAAATATAGCTTCATTGCATCATCCGCATGCGGATTTATTAGTTAGTTTTGAGAGCCTAATGAAAAACTCTCCATAAAACAGTTATTAGAATACAGAACCATCAGTTTTCCCTGTGAATCCCACTGAATTATTTAGGCTGCATGCTGTGGCCCAGCGGTCTTCTATATGTTTAATAAACATTTGTCTAAGCACATTCAAGAGGCACCACTGATGCACTAGCATGAACATTTTCTAGTTTCGTTAATATCTAAAAGGTATCGTTCCAAATATGGGGCAGGATTCCATTTAAAATTGTACTTAAGAGGTTTAAAGCAAATACAAATGTTTGATATTGTTCCCATGACATGAAGAGGACTATGGACAATAAAGCAAAGACAAGTTAGGAATGAAGAAATCTGAGGTAATCTTTCCTTAATGGTTGCCATGAAGGACATCGGGAGACTGAGTTCCTGAGCATTGTCCTAGAATCACGAGAAAGGTAAATCACGGTCCACAAACAGGAACCTCACAAAGAAGAGACTTGGGCTTAGAATTATGATCTGGAGCCAACTTTTTGGTTGGGAGCCAATAGTCTTCTTGTTGGAAATGCCCATGACTTTCCCAAACCATTTGGCTCACCTCCTGACGTAATTGCATCTGAGAGACAAATATTTAAATGGACGGACTGAGGGTAATGGAAGGATTTCAATTACCAAAGAGCATACTGGATTACTTTAAGTGGCATAAATCAGCCTTAAGGCAAACTCAGAGACCAGGCGCAGCATAGTTTCCCAATGCAATATGCATCTCCCCTCTTTGAAGGTAACTCTCCGTGCTCTCAGGCAATGTAAAACAAAGGTTAGGGGTTGAGATGTAATTTGAGTGGAAATGTATTGGGAAACCCACATCATAATTTCAAATATGGAGCGAGGCCAAAATGGTTGAGCATTGCTGAAATAACGGTCAAGGGGCTCTAGCTATGCCTGAAAATGATACAAACGGTTTTAAAAATTCATGCAAGTATAAATTGAAAATTGTTGTGGGGTACCCGCCAATGAGAAGCAGCGGTAAAGTTTTGGAGCAAAACATAATCTCTTATATATCATGCCAATTACAAAGAGCCAGTCTCTTCGTGTGTAGGAACTTAAGCAAAATAGAACAGAGCTGAAGACTAAATGTGGATCCGCAGGCTTTACTTCCTGTCTCTCACAGCTCTGGATGTGTGGGAGCAAAGCTGACTAAAGGCTTTGGTTGGATCCATTTCCAGTCAGAGAGATGGCAGGAGCTGTGTGGGTTGAACTACGCCTTTCTCTTTCTCCTTTCTCTTCTTTCCATTGCAGACTGCCCTTTCGCGTTCTTCTGGTATGTTTGCTGTCCTGTTACATCTCTTCAAGACACAGTGGTTTCTTTCTTCTCCAACCTCAGCCTCCATATCTTTTCCCTACACCAGTTTTCTTCATTAAAGTCCTTGCATTTTGCTCACCTGCCAAGGACCCCCTGTTCAGATGGGAGACTTTCAGATTCTCCCATGTTTCCTCTTGTGAGTTGGCTTATATTCTATCTACCAGTGCCCTTGCTGCCTGACCAAGAAGCCAGGGAGGTAATGCAAATGTTTGAGATATGATTTCTGAGTGAAAGTTGCTAAGAAAAAGATCACATTGAAACCTAGATCTGAAAAATAACAGTAACTTATAAAATCACACAAGACTGGAATGAAACCAGGTGTACATCTAGATGGTAAAATAAGCCAGAAATAGAACCTAATATACTTTGAAATGTTACACAGCAAGTCATTATAGGTCACTTACTCTATGTAGGTCTTTGAAGTTGTTTCATCTTTTCTGTGACTTGTGAGAGACAGGGCTAGGTGTGAAGGAGCTGAAGGGTTAAAGAACTTTCCCAAGCCAGCTTCACCAGCTAGTGCTACAGCTCGTACCAAATCCAGGCTGTCGGGCCCCAGAACCACATCTTAGCCTTTATATCCTACCATCCATCTCTCAAAGAAGAGAGAGATCTCAAAAGCATTAAGGAAAACAGTTATTAACTAGTAAGTATTTGGAGTCTATCTAAGCTTACATTGTACTGCACCATAAACAAAAAAGAGCCAGGAAAAATGTTCAAATGCATTTTAAGCCATGGAAAAGCATTAGAAAACACAGTGTATAATTGATGTCAACTCTGCAAGAATATTAATATACCAACTACTGAGCAAGAGAAATTATGAGATAAAGTCTCACATTTATCAGCAATTTGCTAGCTAAAGTACTTAAAAAAATTCTGCTAGCCCTCAAAATACCAAGCCAAAAGTTTAAATACCAGTGGTGCCAGAAAATATTTTCAAAAACTATGATCAACAAAATCCATATCTACAATACATAGGAACTGTAATATCAAGTAATGCAAATGTGAAGATCTCAAATAGATAAAGATGATTCACAAAAGATGAAATATAAGTAATAGTAATAAATCAAGCAACACACATAATATAAAGGTTATTTTTCAACTAATCTTATTAAAAGAATCACAGAGAAAAACCATGGTG